TTGTAAGACAGGCAAGGTAAGACAGAAAAATACCTTGTTTAAGAATGGTTAAACTGGGACCTCAGGCAGTTTACTATTCCCATTTTAAGTCTGCTTCCTTTTAAACTCTTGTTAATTAAAATTACAGCTTATCAGTTACTGTCAAAGATACAGGATTTTAAAAAAGGATCTGTGCTATTTTAGAATTCAAATGTAGCAAGCTAATAGAATGGCATTTATTCACAATTTTAAACTTTAATTCTGGCAGTCTGTTACTAAATTCCAGTACTCCTTTAGAAAGAATTAGCTAGTTAAAATTTTATGTATTATTTTAAAAAAGAAAGAAAAAAAAAGATTTGCTGACTGGGCTTCAATTAATCCTACTGAACAAAAGAAATCTCAAAGAACAAATCTACTCAAGACATTTTCTATACAGCAATATTTGTACATCTAACAACAGCAACAACAAAAAGGTTCATTCTTGTCAAAGTCAAAGAATATAGTATATAGTCAAAAGCAGGAATACTGTCTGGTTTTGAATACCAGCCCTTCCACTTGCTAGTGTAGCCTCTTTGTGCCTCTGTTTCCCATGTAAAGTGGTGATAATAAGAGCATCTATATCATATTAAGGCTATTGTTTATGAATTAAACTTAAAGTGCTCAGAGTAGTAGCTTAAATTAATATACAGGCCCACAATTGTCATCCAAAACCCTTGGATATGAGATGTTTTGAGAAGTACCACATAATCAAATACATCAATATTTCTGCAGTTAATATTTACACTAAGAGTGATAAAGAGTATAATAGCTGCAGTTCAAGTTACATTATGTAGGCTACTGAGCTGTGGCATCATTATGGAAAAAAAACCTTGGCTTTTAGAGTTTTTTAGATTCCTGAATGGCAAAGAGACTGTGGACCTACATTGTTATTACTTCTACAAGTTACTACTACTACAGGTTAAATACCCCTTACCTGAAATGCTTGGGACCAGAAGTGTTTCAGATTCCAGATTTTTTTTTATTTTGGAATATTTGCATATACATAATGAAATATCTTAGGGGATAGGACCCAAGTTTAAACACAAAATTCATTTATGTTTCATATACAAGGTACTTCAAAAAGTTCTGGAAAAATAGAATTAAATAATATAAATCTTTCCACGAAATTTTTGAAGAACCTGCATACACCTTCTACACATATCCTGAAGGTAATTTTATACAATATTTTTAATAATTTTGTGCAGGAAACAAAGTCTGTGTACACTGAACCATTTGAAAGCAAAAGGTTTCATTATCTCAGTCATTTGTGTGGAGCATCTGTGGTTGTTTGGCCCCTCTTATCTGCCATTCAGGAATCTATCACCATCATTCAGGAATCTGAATTTATATGCTACCAGTAAGCAATCATTTTCTTATACTTATTGACATATAAGTACTTAACAGTAAAAAATATGACATACCATTAATACAGCAAAAAAATAATGTGTTCAGGGTAACTAGGCAGCATAGTTGCATCACCAGAATACCTGTATTAGATGCTAAATAGTAACAACTAACAATGGCAGACTTTCAGTCTCCACCTACAATGCTGTGTTTTGATTAAAAGGTTATCATATACTGTATTTTATGTTTTTAAGTGAGAAGAAATATCAGAATCAGTTGAGGAACCAGGAAGTGGGTCCTGTCGGGATGAGGAAGCATTCTGCTAGATGGCTTTTTAAAATGTTTCCTCCAGAGTCATCTGCATCATTAACAACAGTTTTTGTCTTAGAAGTCTCTCTTTGAATTTATAAACAGACGTGATTTCTTGTTCTGTTATGAATGCACACTTCTCTAGTTCTTTAATAAGCCCATCACACATTCTCACCATGTCATCTATAGGTATTTTTTTCTGCAGTGTTAAGGTCATCTTTATCGTCACAGATTGAGTATCCCTTATCTCAAATGCTTGGGAACAGAGGTGCGGAATTTTCCACTTGTGGCATCATGTCAGTGCTCAGAAAGTTTCTGATTTTGGAACATGTCAGATTTCGAATTTCCAGATTAGAGGTGTTCAGACTGTATCAGAATTAATACTACCCTTGTAGAAAGAGAATGAAGAGCCTGTGTCTGCTTTTGAGAAGTTCATATTATGGCTATTTATATAATGAGCCTAAATGAAACACAGATTCACAGATAAGATTAGAAAGATCAAGACACTGGTAGCAATGATGGAGACAGAGCTGAGGAAAAGAGACGTCATAGCGGCCAAGGTCTCAATGTTGTAAAGAAGAAATAAGTGAAAGAAAAGCAATTAAAATCAGACATCTTTAAAGTGGAATATTAGTGATTGCTGAGAGGGAATGAATTCAGTACTGCAGAAAAGAAAGCTGTGTGAAAAAAATAAAATAAAATAAACTGGAATACTACTCTTCAGGGAACAACTGTTCTGTTACAGCAGCCCCTTGATTCCATTTGTTAAGGAGTGCCTTCTCTTGACACACTGAGAAAAGTTTCCACTGAGAGTGAGACTAAAGCCTGCTTCAGGACCATACTCTACCTTCTCTTCCACCAGTGTCCAAGAAAAGCTTGCCTGTGCTTGGCTGGGATACACAAAGAAAAATAAAATAAATACTTCTGAAGCTCCATTTCTCACTTTCTATGATATTAGACAATTGTAGGATTCACTGCTCCTCCTGTTCATCAACCCATGACTCAGAGCTGATCTTGCTCTAGATTCTAGAGAGGACTTCTTTCTCCTTGTTCTTCTCCTAACATCTGATCTCAAGGAAATTCATCTACTTTCTCTCCTCTACACTCTTCCAAGAGAGTACGTGGAACACAGGAGTAAGGCACAACAAATAAATCTGCAAAACACAGCTAAAATTTGAATCAAATAGTCTGTGCATTTATAACTTAATCATTTAAAATAACCTGCTAAACACTGACTGGCAAGTCATAGTTATTAAAATATGGACTTTCAGAGAGTCAACCAAGGTCAACAGGCTTGTGTTAGAATAGAAAGCCGGTGGACAAGACTAGGAAGAACACTGTCAAATCTTGACTTCTCATGACCAAAACAAACACTAAAGTTGACCAACAAGCAACTAAACTCTATTTTCTCTAATAGAAATGGCACAGAAAATGTTGTCATATGAAAACACTTTTCTGAAAGTATGACAATATAACAAAAACTCCTCCATTTCTAATTCCTTTAAGTAGTAAAAGTGCTGAGAGTCTGTAGACTTTTGTATGCCACTCTTGGTTTACCAGACCAGCTGGCACAACTGGATGGTAGTACAGTAGTTCCCCCTTATTTGCAGTTTTGCTTTCTGCAGTTTCAGTTACCTGCAGTCAACTGCAGTTTGAAAATATTACATGAAAAATTCCAGAAAGAAACAATTCGTAAGTTTTAAATTGTGTGCTGTTCTGAGTGGCGTGATGAAATCTCATTGTGTCCTGCTCCAGATGTGAATCATCCCATTGTCTAGCATATCTGCACCATATACACTACCCACCCTTTAGTCACTTAGTAGCCATTTCGGTTATTGTATCAAAAAAAAAACATAGCATACAGTATATAAAGTTTGGTACTGACTGCAGTTTTAAGCATCCACTGGGGGTCTTGGAATATGTCCCCCACAGATAAGGAAGGGACTACTGTACTAATTTTTATGAAGCTCTTTAAAACTGAATACTTTCAGCAGTAAATATAGTCATTCCATCTCCAAACACTGTCATTTCAACTAAGGATAAAGTTCAAAGTTGTTTTGTTAATTACTTTTTTAAAAACAAAGATGAACTCCTTCTAAGGGAAGGGAAGATGATAGTCAAATGCCTTGGTCCAAACCTCATCTTGGTCTGAATATATAAAATATTTGTCAACACAATGATGTTTGGTTTATCCAAAGGTAAGTAGAGAATTTAAATATTCACAATGGAGTCACCAAAAAGAATGAATTCCTTTGTGTCAAGCATAATTTCATACATTACACACAAATGGTTTGAAAACTTCATCTCCTAGTTTACTAGACTCCAGATCTTCAGAGTCTTCTTTGATTCTTCCTTCTTCAAGTTTCATATACAATCAATTGATTTTAAATGAATTCTCTGATTTACACTTTCCTCTCTTATCTCACTGATAAAGTTTTACATCATAGGCTTAGAAGACAAAAGGTTTTTAACTAGTCCCCTGGTGTACAGAATACAAAAGGTTTTTAACTAGACCCCTGTTATGTACTCCAACCTATCAATTCCTTAGCTTGGCATTCAAGTTTCTCTACTACCTATTTATATCTTATTTTCCACTTCTCATCTACATGGATGATGCAATTCAGTTGTCAAACTCTTCCTTAATCTTTGTTTACTTTCAACCTTCCATAGGAAATACCTTCCCCTCTCCATTCCTTCTAACCACTCAAAGCCCAACCCATATTCTATCTCTTTTTTGAGATGTTCTCCAACCCAACCTTTACCAGTTTTGTACTCCTAGCCTTAGATAATATCATATGATCTAACACTAAATTTATATATTTTCTATTTTTTGCTATTCTTTCTCATATATCCAACCACATGGTAAGTCTTCTGAAGACAGGTCCAAGTCGTTTACACCCTTGGCCATCCCTCATGTGTCTACCATAGAATATATATTTTGTCAATACTTCTTATTTAAAAGAAAAAGACAATAATTCCATCTCGCTCTGTATCATCCAGGTGCATATTTTCAACCTTTTTGTATATTACTACAAATTGAAATTGGGACTTGCTCCCAGGATTGGTCAAATTTAAGCCATAGTTTTCTGTGAACATGCCTATTCACATGAAAAGCTTGATCTGCCTGAAGGAGAAATATCTTAAGTTTATCTAACAAAGTTGCTCATTTAGGCCTAGTCATAATTCTGACCTTATTTGGGGTAAGGGGATGGGACTGCGGGAATGCTGTCATTTATCTATCTATCTATCTATCTATCTATCTATCTATCTATCTATCTATCTATCTATCTATCTATCTATTTTAAAAAGGTTTTGATTTATCAACTCACCTATTACATGGGCAGACACAAAGGCCACAGCACTTGTTGAGCTCTGTTAAAGTCTTCTCTGCCTCTCTCATGTCTTTATTTATTTGGTCCATGCCTTCTTCTATGCGGTTTAGTTGTTCTAAGAATAAGTTGTGGAAGTTACATTTTGTGTTATAATTATGGTGTCAACCAGAAAATGCTATTATTATGCCATAGCAAACTTCAACCTTGAATCTACCAACAACCCACCACAGTGAATATATTAGTGCCAGAAAGTATAACAAACTGTTCAACATGAAAACAATCTTTCTCATACTGATCCTGAGCACCTGGCCTCTTACTGTGAAAAAATTTGTTCTAAAGAAACTTGTACACTAGGATCATATGAGGATTGTTAGAGATCACCCTTGCAACCAAGTTAAGTGTACTTTGACCAGACCAGATCTCCAGCATTTCTATCATTTAATAGGCTCAGGGCTGGTGGGTTAGCTCAGTTGGTTAGAGTGTGGTGCTGATAACACCAAGGTCAAGGGTTCAATCCCTGTACTGGCCAGCCACCAAAAAAAAAGAAAGGTTAAAAACCTGAGGCTGTCACAGGACTAATTAAAACTAGACCAGATTACGCACAGCCAACTCAAATCAAATGTTTCCAAGCTCATCTGTATTTAGGATTTATCTTGACTTCTGAGGATGATGCAAGAATATCATAATGTATAACTTACATATGACCAATGCACACGATAAACCATGCTGGCCTTAACATATACATGGTATATAGCTGGGCATTGTTCAAATCAGAACAAAAGAAGTAAACATATCACTCTTATCTTACAAAGGGAAGGCACTCCCAAAGGCAGCAATTTATGACTGATTTGATAGGGCTCTTTGCCATCTCATGTCAACTTAAGAGTTTCTGCCAGTGACTTCAACCCACCTCCTTGTTCATCCAGCAGAGTGATTGTCTTGATTCCTGCATCCTGAGACTAAAAGAAGGGGGGAAAAAGCCAATAGTACAACAAAACAAACCCCAAACAACAGAAACAAAACCTATAAGGATTGGCAAATAGCAAGACAGAATCATTTAGAAACCTAAGCTCTCAGAGGATTAGAGCTACAGATAGAACTAGTATTCTTAAACCAACACACTTTAACATATTAACCCCCCAAAATAATTAAATGACAAACTCTGGTGAATTCATCTTCCCTGTCATATTCCAATACTGTCAAAGGGAAAAACAGAAAAGGTCTGTTAGTGCATAGTTTGACAATTTCAGCAAATACTGGTTCTAGATAATAAAGTGTATTGATACGATACTCTTTAACACCAAGTCCATCTAGTACAATTAGGATTCCTCCAATAAATTTCTACACTTAATTTAATGATTAAACATTTTCTTACCTCAATGGCTAAACCCAGGATTCTCCTTGTACTTTCCAGAGACTAGGAGAAAATATAGAGTTTCAGCATTCCAAGATATGTAGCAAAAAAATAAAAATAAAAAATCTGATCACAGGCCATATTTATGATGCCACTCTATTTTTAAAATAAAGTCCATCCCTCACTTTAAAACAAGGGAAAGAAAGTTGATCACTATACTTTTAGTTATTTTCTTCCTACCAGGTGCTCGTTAAAAGAAAACATCGATGGTGGAGTTCATGGGAGTCATAAAAATTTTACGAAGTCATAAAAATTTAATGTAGGTAGAAATCTAAGTATATTACACAGATATTAGAAAATTGTTAACTAAAAGTCCAGAATTCTTCAAATCTAGTGTATCTTTGTTGCATGTAACTGTTAAGTAATGACTATCTAAAAAAAATCATACACAATTGTTTTCATTTATTTAGCTTTTTGATGAGTTGAAAAAAAAGGAGCTAGCAATGGTAGTATGGGGCAAATGAAATCTATGATATAAAAGGACCAGGAAAAGGCCAAATGGTCTCTAAGTAGGCCTTTTCATCCCTCCAATGTGAAAACTGAAATGGAATTAATTATTCAATCTGAGTAAAACATTTACCTCATCTGTAACCTGGTGAGCCCTCAGCTGAATTTCTTCTGATGACAGATTATCCATGATGAATCAAAATTCTATCAGGTACAGAAACAAAAATGTGGATATTCTATAAGAATAAAGATACAAAAAAGTTTGTTTGAGCAAAGAGCGTAGATTTATGGAATTTAGATACTTAGGAAAACAATATAAAAGAGGCTATCTACACCGCAGGTAAAGAAATTAAGGCTGAGAGGGGCTAAATGAATTTTTAATGCTAGTTAGTACCTGTAGTGGATTAAGTTATGTTCCCCCAAAACTCCCTGAAGCTTAAATTGTATCCCCCAAATTTTATGTGTTAGAAATTTGGGCCCCACTGTGACTGTTAAGAGGGTGGGAAATCCTATTACAGTAATTGAAAGGTGGAACCTTGAAGAGGTGATTAGATTGTAAGACTGTGCAGTAATGAATGCATTAAAAATGGTGGTCAGGGGCATGGTTCTGAGGGCTTTAAAAGAAGAGAGAGGAGAATCTCTCTCTCTGCTCTGCCATTTCACAATGTGATACCCTGTGTCACCGAAGTCACCACCAAGACCCTCACCAGATGTGTTCCCTGGACTTTGGACATCCCAGCCTCAGAAACTGCAAGCAATAAATTTTATTTTCTTATAAATCACCCAGTTCTGTGTATTTTGTTATAAGCAACAGAAACAGACTAATACAATATCAAAGGTAAACTCACGATACAGGTTATAGGACTTCTAGTGAAGTACTCTTTCCACTTGGAAAATGGTCCCTCTACTTTGAGAGGCAAAGCCTTATTAGAAGACAAGCTTTGAGAGACTATTAAAATCCTACCAGCCAGCTGCCTCCTCTCCCCTCAAAAGAGACTATTAAAATGAATTCTTTGTTGTACAATGTTCTTCATATGTTGTCTGAATATGGTAAAGCAATAAGGTGAAGAAGTCCAAGTTAGTAAAGTAGCAAAATCCAAAGTCATGTGCCTGAAGAACATGGAAGACATTTCTAAAATATTTCAGCTGCCCTGGCTACTCACTGGAGAAAATGAAATATATTCACTCTTAACAAGAAAAGGGTAATACAGGTACAAAGAGCTCAGAAGAGAATTAAGGTTTTTATTATGGGTCAATTTTCCTCCTCCAATTAGTTGTATTATTTGTTTTAGTGAAGTCTCTAAGAAACTGAACAATTATTTTTCTGTACATAGTAACTCAGAAAGAGAAGACTTCAGGGACATTCAAACTATAAAATAAAACATTTAGTAGGTGTTACTCAGTACCACTGTTGTGTATTCCTCTTTGAGAAGTCATGTGGAGTAATAAGCACTGTGTGATGGATCTAGGTTTTATTTACTTCATTACATTTGCTAGCTTTGTATTAAATTTTTGAAAATGAATTTATCAAAGCTCTTTGCCAATGACAGAGATAAAGTCTGGTTCACATTCTAAATTTGCCTCCTAGCATTCGGCAATATCTGGAGACATTTTTGATTGTCACAACTTGGGGGGAGGGCATTTAGTGGGTAGAGGCAGGAAAGCTGCTAAGCACCCTCCAACAAAAAAGCTCCCCGACAAAGAATAATCCAGCCCAAAATCTCAAAGTGCTGGGGTGAGAAACCGTGCCACGGAGTATACTTATATTCACTGATAAGCAAGGAACCTAATTACCCAGGGATTTTATTTTATCTTTGTACCTCTAACACCTAACCTGTCTGACAGTAGGTATTCTGAAAATGTCCGTCGAAAGAACAGATAAGTAGATAAAAGAGGCTGTATTCTCAAAGTATTTAAGGGGCTCTTGGAAACAAAGCTACATGTAACAGTAGCACAAAGCCTACAATTAGCCACTAGAACCACAAACCAAAAACTGCCTTTGCATATGTATCATCTAGAAAAGCTTGCTGTTCAAATATGAATCTTTTCATTCACTTTTAGTAGAATCATCTTGGATAACACAAAACACAACCACATATATTCCCAGTCCAGGAAGGCATTGCAATTAGAGTCCTATCTATAACTCTACTGTTATAGATAAGTGTTTTAAGGTCTAATTAAGATTTTAAGCCTTGTTTTGGCAGCTGGCCAATACCGGGATCTGAACCCATGACCTTGGTATTATAAGGCTGTGCTCTAACCAACTGAGCTAACCAGCCAACCAATATTTTAAATCTTGATTTAAGTTCCTAATGCTCATTTTAAAAAGTAGTTTAAGTTCCAGATTTAATTTCTTATTTTGCTTGCCATAGTAGGACTGTGGTTCAGGCAAAATGCTCATCTATTAAGATATATACTCAAGATATAAAGTCCTTTCTTGAATTAACAACTGTTTATTCATTACACATAAGCATAAATAGGACTATGTGCTTTATTAATTTGCTAATTGTTTTATAAATCTTTAGCTTTATCATACATATGGCCATGCTACCGTTCCTCTTTTGCCAAGAGAAGAAAAGGAAGTTAGTTTTTTTGCCCTCTCACTTCCAGATTTTTGTACACCTTTCCTTTCTGTAATATCCCACCTGCCTACCCAGGTAAGCTCATGCTTCTCCATCACTTCCTAGAACCCCAACCGAGATAACCCTCCAAAGCCTGCCCTTCCCAGACAGTATGCTCTAAAGTTACCTATTCCTCTCATGTGTAACTCCTCAATACCCAACGAAGAAGAAAGTGATAAGAAAAACAATACACACCAATCCACTAGTGTCTGGAAATGGCACCTCTAGTCAGGTTTTCAGATATAGTATCCTGTGGGTAGGGATATATTTGGGGGAAAGGAAGCCCAGATCTCTCAATTTTTATTATAAAAAATCTTATGAGTTTGAAATTCTACTCCTAGAGGTGATCCATGCCAATTACAAGCCAATACTGGCTATCTTCCTAGTTAAAAACAAGCAAAACACCATGAAGGTTCAAAGGGAGCCTTGAATGCACAATTGTCCTTTGTTAAAATAGAAGATTCCAAGAGTCCTTCCTTCTAAATATAAAAAAAAAACCAAAAAACAGATGTACCTGGGAGGTGGGTGTTAAGAATCACTCTTAGCGGGCCGGCCCGGTGGCGCCTGCTGCAGTGCGCCGCTTGGGAGCGCGGTGGCGCTCCCGCCAAGGGTTCGGATCCCACGTACAGACCGGCCGCTCACTGGCTGAGCGAGGTGCGGGCACAACACCGAGGGTTGCTATCCCGTTGCCGGTCCTGGTCCGGTACGGGCGCGACACTGAGGGTTGCGATCCGTTGCCAGTCACGAAAAAAGAAAAAAAGAAAAAAAAAAAAAAAGAATCACTCTTAGGGCCGGCCTGTGGCTCACTTAGGAGAGTGTGGTGCTGATAACACCAAGGCCATGGGTTTGGATCCCTATATAGGGATGGCCGGTTGGCTCACTTGGGAGAGCATGGTGTTGACAACACCAAGTCAAGGGTTAAGATCCCTTACTGGTCATCTTTAAAAAGAAAAAAAAAAAGAACCACTCCTGATACGGTAATGAGGTCATCTTTAAGACACACTATTTCAGTGAACTCAAAGTTCTGCCTAATACTGCCTTTTTTTTCTTCCCTGAGCAGATGACACACAATACAAGGATCAGATCAAGGACGAGGACAAAGAGAGACAAGAAGTAATACTCCTCAGGCTCTTACTGGTCTTTGCAAATCTGCTCAGAAATGTCAGAGTGTAAACTAGAATTAGCTATATAGCTCTACTTATCATTATTTTCAGTCTTTTGTGGTTTTTTTTTTTTTTTTTTTTTTTTTTTCAGGAAAAGGCCTCCCATAATGTTGAGGAAAAGAGAATTGGTGGGTGAGGGATGAAAAACAAAACATCACTTGACACGAAGATGCCATTAAATTTATTTTTCTCAGATTTAATCTAATAGATTAAATATCTGTTATTTTTCCAATATTCCTGGAAATTTAATCTACTATGCTAATTGTGTGCCTTTGAGAAAAAAATGCAAGATTCTTTTCAGTGCTTTTACACCCTATTTCCTTTCCTATGGTTCACTTGGACTTACTAAAAGACTCCTAACTTAACTTTCTTAACTTCTTTTCTATTTTAAACCTGGGTGGGGGAAGAAATGTTCATTTAGTACCTACTGTGTGTCATATACCCTACTAAGTATTTATATACATCATTATCTCCATTATTCTATTTTATAGATGGGAAAATTAAGGCTCAGTTTAATTAAGTAATATATCCAAGGTAACTGAGTCAGTAAAGAGCAGATTTATTATTCAAGTCTGGATCTACTCTGAAACCAAGGATAGCTCACAGTCTGGTTAATAGTCTTATTGTTGAGTATATCCCCCTTAATAAATATATCAGATCCTATGAGAACTGCTGAATATTGGAAAATGGGCTAAGCAACACTACCTGATGACTCATTTCAAAATTTCAGATGCCTTCTGTAATAAAACCATGAAATCTTTTTTTTTTTTTTTTTTTTTTTTTTTTTTTTTTTTTT